TGGGGTGCCTTGCTGGCTCAGTCAATAGAACAAGCAACTCTTGATCTCAGAATTTTAGTTTGAACCCCACACTGGGTGTAGAGTTTACATTAAAAAAAAAAAAAAGTGAATAAAGTATTGTAGTATGTAGTTTTTTGGTTCTGACTTCTTTTAACTTAGAATAATCCATTCATCTGAGATGCACCATGTTGCATGTTATCAATAGTCTCTTACTTTTTATTGCTAAATAGTATTTCATTGTATAAATATATATATACCACATTTCTTTTTAATACATTCCTCTTAGATGAGGAACAGCTGAGTTGTTTCCAATATTCTGAAAATTACAAATAAAGCTCTTCCTTCCTTTTAGATTTGACAGTTGTTATGTGGCATAAATATCACACAAAACAATACAGAATATTTCCATTTCCAAAGATCATGACCAATATAAAGAAAAAATACATATATACGAGGTATAAGAAATAAAACCATCATTTTTGGAAGATAATTATTGGTGAGAGAGGCCTAAAGAATCAACAAACTGTTACAACCCAAAAAAAAGGCCAACAGTCAATACTTTAGCCACAAAAACTTTAAAGTAGTCAGAAATTAGCCAAAAGAATTCATAAAAACTAGCCAAAAATTCTTAAGATCTCAACAGGCAAAACTGAATAAATGGAGATACATTTCATGTATTTGGATGGGACAACCTAATCATATAAAGATTTCACTACTCCTCAGGGCGCCTGGGTGGCTCAGTGGGTTAAGTCTCTGCCTTCAGCTCAGGTCATGATCTCAGGGTCCTGGGATCAAACCCTGCATCGGGCTTTCTGCTTGGAAGCAGGGAGCCTGCTTCCCCTCTCTGTCTCTCTGCCTACTTGTCATCCCTCTCTCTCTGTCAAATAAATAAAATCTTAAAAAAAAAAAAAAGATTTCACGACTCCTCAGTTAATCTATAAACGCAATGCATTCAAAATAAGAATTCTATCTGATAATCTAAGGAAAAAGGTACAAGGTATCTATTATAGAAGACCCCCCAAATGCTAACAAACAAATGAAGTGACGCTCAAATTTTATATGAGGGAATAAAGAACCATAAAAAAACTAAATCAACTTTATAAAAGAAGATTAAAGAAGATACTTGGTCTACCTTATAAAAAAGCTGTATCAAAAATACAGCAGTATTTTTTAAAAATGTGATACTAGGACAAGAATACAGACCAATGGAATGTAAGAGAAATTTCAGACACATACATATATCTATATAGGTATATAGGTACCTATATAGATATATGTATGTGTCTGAAATTTCTGAATAAATGGTACCTATATAGATATATATGGCAAATTAATATATGATAAAGGTAGCATCACCAACCAGTGGAAAAATATGGATGATTTAAGAAGCAATGTGGAGAGGGGCTCCTTGGTGGCTCAGTCAGTTTAAGTGTCCAACTCTGAATTTCAGCTCAGGTCATGATCTCAAGGTCATGAGATCAAGCCCTGCATGGGGCTCCACATGCAGTGCAGAGTTTGCTTGAAATGATCTCTCTCTCCCTCTGACCCCACCCCTCCAAAATAAATAAATAAATCTTTTAAAAAATGTTTTTAAAAAAGCAGCACTTTGGAGAAAACTGGCTCACCAGATGAAGAAAAACAAAACTGGATCCCTATCAATACTATATAAAAGGTGGGGCCTAAAGTGCAAATATGACAGTAAAACTACAAAATTAACAGAAGAATCTGTAGAATATCTTTGTGGCCCAGGGATGGGGAAAAAGTATTTCACTCCTAGAATACCTCAGGGTCCACTGAACCCAATTTTAATGTTTGAGCTTCTTTTTCAAGTAGTTCTACCTATTTGTAAAGACTGGTATTTGTCACGAGGTGGGGTAAGAGAGGGGAAGGGTGGCACCTGGGTGGCTCAGTTGGTTCAGGGTCCAACCCGATTTCAGCTCAGGTCATGATCTCAGGGTTGTAAGATCGAGCCCCATGTCAGGCCCACGCTGGGCATGGAGCCTGCTTAAGATTCTCCCTTTTCCCTGGCCCCATTCATGCTCCTTCTCTAAAAGAAGATTGATATTTGGGGACTTTTATTCTTTCTTAGAGATCATCCAAAGGATAAAACTAAAATTCATTTTTAATGGAATAAAATGCATTCTATCTTGTAATTAATCACCAGACATCCAATAGATCCTTTCACAAATTTAAATTACATTATGGGATCTTATTGATTTTATTTTTACTGTATTTTGTTATTACATCATCCTAGGAATTACTTCATTATTCATCACTGTTCATCAATTATTCCCAACTATGCTAAAATAAGCAAAAACCATTAAAGAAAAAAAAAGAAGAAGAATGATGATATGATAGGCAGAATTATGTCCCCCAATGACACTTACCTCCTAATCCCCAGAACCTGCAAATGTTATGGGAATTTGCACATGTAAGGAGGTAAGGACTTTGAATTGGGGGAATTATACCAGATTATCCAGATGGACATGAGCCAATCTAATCACAAGTACTTAAAAGTGATGAACTTTTCTTGATTGTGGTCAGAGGGTGATGTGACATCCAAGAACAGTAAGAGAGCTGCATCACTGCTGGCTTTGAAGATGGAGGAAAGAAACTAGCAGCCAAGAAAATTCAGGCAGCCTTTAGAAGCTAGAAAAGGCAAGGAAAAGGTCCCCCAGCCTCCCACAAGAGCCTCCAAGAAAGAATCAAGTTCTGTACACACCTTGATTTTAACCCAGTGAGAACAATGTCAGACTTTTGACCCTCAGAACTATAAGAAAATAATATCTTGTTTTAAGCAACTCTGCAGTAGTTTTTTATGGTAGAAACAGAAAAACAAGGCAGATTTAATGACCTAAAAGAGTGATGCAATAGTGAAATAAGTGATCATCTCTCAAGTTATCTTCTTGTCTTGCCCAAAGTACTGCATTATCTTTCAGGAATGTATAGAAGACTAGAAACGGGGTGTCTGGGTGGCTCAGTCAATTAAGTATGGACTCTTGACTTTTGATCAGGTCATGATCTCAGGGTCGTGAGACTGAGCCCCATGTCAGGCTCCATGCTCAGCAAGGAGTCTGCTTGGGTTTCTCTCCCTCTGTCCCTCCCCCCACAAATGTGTGCACTCTCTCTCAAATGAATAAAAAAATCTTAAAAAAAAAAAAAAGATACTAGAAATATCCTTGCAGACTGATTTTAGACTGCACAGATTCCGGTGGATAATTAGAAATTTTCATTTCTCACCTGAGATGCTCAAGAGAAGAAAACAACAGAGAAAGACATTTTGTAATTATTAGACAAATCAGAAAGTAAGTATAAAGAGATAACAACACCTCCAGACTCTAAAACTGGTGGCAATGACTACAGAAGTGAAATCTCAGGGTCATCGAATGATATTATCCTAGATGAATTTTCTTAAATTCAAGAATCAATGAATTCCATAACCTATTTCTAAGGAAAAAAAGGAAACATGGTATTTTCATTAGTCAGTTGTTCAAATGAAGGACTTCATCATATTCTTCTATATGAATCTGGACACTTCATGCTCAAAGGATACATGACAATATCCTTTATCTTTTTTGATGTTTGTGCACCAAGATTTACTTGCTACAAAGAGGATTTTAGTTTAAATTCTTATTAAAATATCTAATAAAGTTGTCACTCGTTATACCTTTATTCCTATAAATTAATAGTAAAATAACTTAAAATATAAAAATAGCAAACGATGGGGTTCCTGGGTGGTGCAGTTGGTTAAACATCCAACTCTTGGTTTTGGCTCAGGTCATTATCTCAGGGTGTAAGAACAAGCTCCATGCTCAGCAGGGAGTCTGCCTGGGTTTCTCTTTCTCTCTGCCCCTCCCGCTGCTTGCTCTCACTCTCCTTCTCTTTCTCTCATAAATAAACGTTTAAAAGAAAAAAGGAAAAGGACCTATTTGACCCTGACGGTTCATAGTGATGACTGGTTTTCTTAGTATACCAAGAGCTATTCAAAACTTGAGTTATAGCCTATAAGGGAAAAAAAAAAATCAATGAGTTTGAATATAATAAAATTCAAGAGTCCTCTAGAATGATGGATACCAGGAACAAAGGTGATAGACTGACAAAATGGGAGAAGTTATCTGCACTGTATAAAACCAACAAGGAACTGATATGTAGAATATACAAGGAACATGGGAAAATCAGTTTGGAAAAAAGTAATCCTGATACAAAAACAGGGAAAGTATTGTAACAATTTATAAGAGACTCACAAAAAGCTAACAAGTACATGAGGAAATGCTCAAAATAATTGGTGGAACAAGAAAAAAAAAAGAGAGAGAAAGAGGGATACTATTTTATACCTGTTAAACTATCAAAAATGAGAAACTCGGAGGATGCCAAGTGTTTCTGGGATGTGGGTACATAAATGATCATGCATTCTGTTAAAAGTACAGGTTAGGCCTGTACAACTGTTCTGAATAGCAATCTTATTACACTATTCATTCAATTTAACTCTATATACACTCTATAACCCAGCAATTATGCTCCTGTGAATATATCCTAAATAAATGCTCACAGAGGTCCACAAAAGAGAAAGTACATGAAATCCACTACAATGTGAGGTAATGGGGAGTTGAAGACAAAGTGAGATCTATCACTGGAAAGCCTAATAGATACACTAAGGTTTTAAGCAGCAATTGTACAAATAGGAACATATACAGGTAGGACCAAGGATGACAGAGGCAAAGAAGAGACACAGGACAGGAAAAGTAAAAATTATATAATGGAAGAAGAGCAGTTCAATCTACTAAATTAATTTTTACTCCTGAAACCTATTATGCCCCTGAAGTATGTTATGCTATAGTAAAAATCAGGTTTATAAATACTGGATTTTTCCCATACATTATAAAAATTACAGTAAATAATGATTTGCTATTAAGCACATATGTAGGATTCTTTTATAAAATATATTCTGGATCATTTAATACAAAGAAAGAATGTGAAATAAAGATTTTAATTCTACTCACTTTTGCTCCAACACTGCAACTGCCAGTGCTCCCTGTGCTCCCACTTGCAACTCCTGTAAATCTAGCTTCCAGTAATTCTTGCCTTCTTGGATCCAGACTATGAAGCTCATCCATTGCACCTATTAAGAAAAGGAAAATAAAACACAAATATATGTATCTTCATATACACACAAACGCAAAATATAGGGATGTGGTTAGTGGAGATGTCACTACAAACTTAATGAATGTATTCTATAAACAGATTAAGAGACTTTAAAATTTTATCATGTCCTTCGCTCATTTAACGAAACAACCAACAGTGAATTTCCAACACTTGTGACTGCAATCCAGAATAAGAAATATATTTTCCACACAACTCAGTACACAAACACATACAATCATGTATCAAAAAATTTCACAAATTCTTCTTACTGCATGCAGTGCACACCACTATTTTCTAGTCTATTTTTGTCCATTAGGTGAAAAAAACACGGTTGTGAGCTATTTAATTGACTTCATGTGCCATTAATTGACCATAGGTCCAAAGTTTGAAAAATACCACTCTCATAGTATAATGCTAGCTTATGCAGAATTCTGACACTAAGTGACATTAATAGTTAATTATTTTATTTGTTTATACCTTTTCTGACTATATTTTAAACTGGAAAAGATTGTTTTATGACTTTCACATCCCAGAGATTTTTGGTACATTTGATGGTTTTCAGTTTCTATCGGTGGATAAAATTTACACATATATCAAACAGATCACTGAGGTAATAGCTATTATTAAAAAATCACTGGAGAATTAAAGGGGAAAAATTAGCATCCTCGTGTAATTGCTACTATGCAAACTAAAGTAACACAAATTCTACTTAAAGTTCAATTTTAAATTTCTTTTATTCGTGTCTGCCAATTTTCTACTGATAAAACTAAAACCTTAGAACTGACAAAAATGAGTGGTTCTTAAAAGGAATTAAGGGGCAATCCCAAGTCACATGTAGACAGTTTCAAACAAAACTAACTAGACCCCTTCCACATACTCTTACATTCCTCTATCTTAAAGGTTAACAGTTATTCCTATAGATTTCATCTCTTGAAATTGTTTTCATTTTCTTTTATATTTTTTTTAAGATTTTATTTATTTATTTGACAGAGAGAGAGCGAACATAAGCAAAGGGAGTGGGAGAGAAAGAAGCAGGCTTCCTGCCAAGCATGGAGCTTGATGCAGGGCTCAATCCCAGGATTCTGGGATCATGACCTGAGCCCAAGGCAGACGCTTAACTGACTGAGCCACCCAGGCGCCCCTCATTATCTTTCATTTTTATCTGGACAGAGGACTGGATGGATAATGGCCATCCTTCCATTTTAAACTGCATATATCTGTACCTGAATATATATTTTCTGCCCACTCCTCTTTCTTCCATCTCAAAGAGGTCACTACCTTTAAAAAGCTGAAGGCTTCAATTTTTGCTTTTGATCCCATTCCTTCTTCATATCCAAGGAATCTTGCATTTGCATGTATTGACCTAAAACTACAGAACTCTTAGAAGAAAACACAGGGGAAAGCATCATAATCTTAGAGGATCTGACAATGATTTCTTAGATATCAAACTGGGAAATGTGGCTCCTGGGTGGCTCAGTTGTTAAGCGTCTGCCTTCGGCTAAGGTCATGATCCCAGGGTCCTTGGATCGAGTTCCGCATCAGGCTCCTTGCTCAGCAGGAAGCCGGCTTCTCCTTCTCTCATTCCCTCTGCTTGTGTTCCCTCACTCGCTGTGTATCTCATTCTGTCAAATAAATAAGTAAAATCTTAAAAAAAAACCAAAAACCTGGGAAAATGCAAGATCCCTTACAGAATACATAAAGAAATCCTACAACTCAACAAAAGAACCCAAACAACCCAATTTAAAACAGGGGTAGGGGAGGAGGGGCCTGGGTGGCTCAGTTGGTTAAGCATCTGCCTTTGGCTCAGGTCATGATCTCAGAGTCCTAGGATCGAGTCCTGCACTGGGCTCCCTGCTAAGTGGGGAGCCTGCTTCTCCCTCTCCCTTTGCTGCTCCCCCTGCTTGTGCTCTCTAACTCTGTTAAATAAATAAAATCTTTTTAAAAAAGGGGGGGCAAGGAGTGGGACCTGGGTGGTTCAGTCAGTTGAGCATCTGACTCTTGCTTTCAGCTCAGGTCATGATCTCAGGGTCCTAGGACTGAAATCCACATTGGGCTCTGTGCTCCATGTTTGGCTCTGCACATAGCACAGAGTCTGCTTAAGATGCTCTTTCTCCCTCTCTCTCTGCCCCTCCCCCTGCTGTCTCTCTAAAATAAAATAAAATAAAATAAAATAATCTTAAAAAAAAAATGGGCAGAGGACATAAACAGACATTTCTCCAAAGATATGTAACTGGCCAGTAAGTACATGAAAAGAGGTTCAATATCAATCTTAAGGAAATGTAAATCAAAACCCACAATGACATACCACTTCATCCCCATTAGGATGGCTACTATCATGGAACAGAAAATACTGAGTGTTAGTAAGGATGTGGAGAAATTTGAACCCTTGTGCAAGGCTAGTGGGAATGTAAACTGGTGCAACCATTGTGGAAAACTGTGTGGCAATTTCTCAAAAAAATCGAGCACAGAATTACCATATGACCCAGAAAGTCCGCTTCTCAGTATATATCCAACAGAAGTGAAAGTAAGAACTAGAACAGACCTTTTTTTTTCTTTTTTTAAAGATTGATTTATTTATTTGACAGAGAGAGATCACAAGTAGGCGGAGAGGCAGGCAGAGAGAGAGGGGGAAGCATGCTCTCCACTGAGCAGAGAGCCCGATGCAGGGCTCGATCCCAGGACCCTGGGATCATGACTTGAGCCCAAGGCAGAGGCTTTAACCCACTGAGCCACTCAGGTGCCTCTAGAATAGACCTTTATACAGCATGTTCATACCAGCATTATTCACAATAGCCAAAAGGCAGAAGCAACCTAAGTGTCCACTGATGAATGAATGGATTAACAAAATGTGGTATATGCATAAAATGGAGTATTGTTCAGCATTAAAAATGAAGGAAATTTTGACACAGGTTACAATATAGATGAACTTTGAAGACATTATGGTAAGTGAATTGTACAAATTGTACAAAACCAATTGTACAAATATTGTATAATTCCACTTATATGAGATTCGTAATAGCCAAATGCAGAGACAGAAAGTAGATGATGGCTGTCACAGACAGCGGGTATGGTGGAATGAGGAGTTAGGTGTTTAATGGGTACAGAATTTCAATGGGGAAGATACAGAAGTTCTGGAAATGGATGGTGGTGATGACAGTACAATAATGTGAATATACTTATTGGCACTGAACTGTACACCTAAAAATAGCTAAAATGGTAAATGTTGTATTATGTACACTTTACGATTCTTACAAATAATTTTTTAAAAATAAATAAATTGGACTTTACCAAAATTTTAACTTTGTTAGTTCAAAAGACATGGTGGTAAAAATGAAAAACAAGAGACAGGGAGAAAATATAAAACATTTATGTGCTATATATTATTTCTACTCTTTGGCTTGATAGTGCTTGAAATTTATAATGCACTGAAATTTAGTAGAGAAGATGAGGACCTAAGTCCCTACTTTTACCTGAACCAACTAATAATGTGGTATTTTGTTTACCACTGTTTTTGTTTCTTAGATATATAGCTTCCTCTAGGACCTCAGCCCTCCATGAGATCCTAGAGGAAGCTATACACTCAAGGAATAACAAACAAAAACTGGTTTCTAACCAAACTCCTGTAGGGAGTCCCAACCTCACTAATAATCAACACTTCTAACAAGTTTTTACGACATTTTAATAGCAATGTATGCAAGAACCCTTAGTATAATTGCCGACAAATAACAGATGCTTAACAAGTATTAACATACTTGTCTATTTTTTTTTAAAGATTTTATTTATTTATCTGACAGAGTACAAACAGGGGGTGGGGAGCAGCAGGCAGTGGGAGAGGGAGAAGCAGGCTCTCCACTGCACAGGGAACCCAACATGGGGCTCAATCCCAGAGCTCTGGGATCATGACCTGAGCTGAAAACAGACGCTTAACCAACTGAGCCACCCAGGCATCCCTAGCATACTTATCTAAATAAAAATATAATCTGGAATACTAGAGCCTTGCTTCCCAAAACGCAGTCCACTGACCAGCAGCCATCTTGTTACCCCTCGATGCTTGTAAGAAATACAAAATTGTCGGTTCCACCCCTATATCTAGCAAATCAGAATCTATATATTCTTTAAAGATTTTATTTATTTATTTGACACAGACCACAAGCAGGCAGAGAGGCAGGCAGAGAGAAAGAGGAGGAAGCAGGCTCCCCGCCAAGCAGAGAGCCCGATGTGGGCTCGATCCCAGGACCCCAAGATCATGACACAAGCCGAAGGCAGAGGCTTAACCCACTGAGGTGCCCCAGAATCTATATTTTAGTAAGATCTTCAGGAAATTATCATGTACATTCATGTCTGAGAAGCAATGCTATAGAATCTGGGTTCTCAACTTTTCCTGACAAGGGCTCAACTGTATTTCAGTCTTTGCAGGCCAAGGGCAATACCATGTAGACACTTTACATAATGAGAGAAAAATTTCTACAAACTTTTTACTGACAAAATTCAAGATGTAATAACTAAGTATAATATTTTACAATATTATAAAATATAAGTATGCTAATAAAAAATGGAATTGGGGGTACCACTTAATTTTAGTTTCCTATCATCAAAATCTATTGCAAATATTCAACTGATAATGTTGATCAGCCTATGTATTTATCTTTGAAATGTCTTTTCTAACAGGTACTGCTAAATACTGATATCGACCCACAAGTACATGATTTTAATTAAGTTAATTCATGACTTTGAAGGCAGCTATAGAAATCTCTTAGATTCTTTTGATATTTGCTTTTCAATAGGTCACTATACTGCAGATTAATCAATTCCAATTGGAAGTAAGGCAGAAGTTCCTCAAGTGCACAATTAAATGGATTTCGAGATATGGAAACTTCCTTTGCATGTGCATCAATGTCTGAAAAATGTTGCTGGCACTGTAGTTTGATGATGGAAAATATATTCATGCAAATTCATTTGGGAATGAAGCTCTCGCTT